CCCCCCCCTCGAAAGTTTAGACCACTGCAAAAGTTCTGAAAAAGTGAACGTTTATTTAAACTCTATACATAAATATTTTTCGACCTAACAACATTAGGCGACTTAAAAATGCCTTTTTGTGGTTGTAACTTTTCTTCAAACCTGGTCCTAAAATACGTGAAATAGCGTTCTAATGACTCTAGAAATTCAAAATTTTCCTCGCGCCTACAGCGCTCGCATTCGAAATCCATAAAAATTTTGCCTCCCCCCCTCTGAAAGTTTAGACCACTGCAAAAGTTCTGAAAAACTGAACGTTTATTTAAACTGTTGAAATACTATCCCCGTCTTACCGTCTATGCGCTTTAAATAGTTGGCTTTTCTTACCAAACACAAATACTACAAAAGTCGGTCCCAAAACGTAGGACATCCCCCCTCCCCAAATTTTTTTCGAATGTGCGCCCCTGGATATGATTTTTGCTATTTGTTTGAAGTGAATGTTTCGGAGTTTTAAATAAGTTTTAAATTGTCCGTAAATATGTTTGACACAGTAACATAATAAAGGAATCCTAACTTTCAAGTTAAATGCAACATTTTGTGCTTCTTTCGTTTTCTGGGGACGATTTTTTCAATATTTTGTCGATTTTGAAACCAAATTTGCCGTATCATTCTTTTTGGAGAGTATTATTTACTACCCATTATTTACTACCCACGAGAACAGCTGTTCAGGTGTATCAAGCATTGATGCAACCTCATTTTGATTACTACTGCTCGGTGACTCGGTCTGGGACGGTTTTGAAGAAACTCTCAGTAATAAAATACAGAAACTAAAGAACTTGGTGAACTCAATTCGAGACGGACCTGTTATTTTAGCTCCGCTATTTCAACACTTGATTTTTAAGATTGAAGCTTAATTTTGCCAGAAATAAGTCTTCTGCATGGTGTATCATTCAACAACAAAGGCAAGTTGATTTGGACAGAATCCTTGCAACATTTACAGAAGTTTGTAGAAGAAATATTGAATTTTGCTGATGGCGGTCGCAAAATGCTTCGCTAAAGAATATTAATGACTTCATAGTAAATTCGAACTTGGCGGGAGTTGAAGTGTTAGATTTGGAGGACTCTCGCGCTATCAGCCTATCCGACAACGACACAACAAATGGAAGTTTTCAGGCTTGTGAAGAAAGCGTTTCATGCGATGAAAAGAGTGTGCTTCAAAATGTCGTTAAACGTTTGGATTCATTAACGCACCAATTCGAAAACCACCGAACTGAGACGTTTGTTGTTCTAAACGAACTTGTTAATATATATGAAAATCAAAAAAGTCCGACGGCAACTGAAAATCTTACCAAGGAAAATAGATTATTGAAAGAAGAAAACAAGGCTCTTCAAACAGAGCTAACAAAATGTAAAGATACTTTAACCGAACTAAATACAAAGCTGACGGATAATGAAAGTAAGAAATCAAGCCTCTTAACTGTTATTAGGTTGCTGAATGAAGAGCAAGCCACTGTAATCTGTTCAAATAAGAATGAATCGAGTCAAGCGCAACAAACACGGAGCTCATGGCGAATGGCTGGCCGCTAAACCACAAGTCAAAGTGTTGGTCACCATATAAATTTGAGCAATAAGTACTCTACCTTGCAAATTGAAGACGACGATGAGGCAGTAATGAGCGGTGAAGCTGGAAATAATCAAACCTTAGTTTCCAAGAAGACTCCAACTATAGACCACGAAAAGAAAAGACGATTGAAAAACACCCTAAGAAATACCCAAGACACAAAGCAAAATTCCTTACCAATCTGTAACCAACGTAATACTATCCAACCGAAGAAACAACAATGTGATGTAGCTTTGTTGGGTGACTTCATGATTAAGCATGTTGATGTCCGAAATCTTCGTCATGGCACAAACAAACAGGTAACTGTTCGTACTTTTTCTGGGTGTAGAACCGACGAAATGGCTCACTATATAAAGCCGACACTTGCTTTAAAACCGAAGCAAGTTATTATTCTTGTTGGGACGAACGATCTCAAAACGAAATCACCGGCTGAAATTATTTACAACTTAAACTAGGGCAATCAGGCAAAACAAGAAAACCCCGCAATGATGTCTCACTCTCACAGATAATAATTAGAAGTGATGACACAAGATTGCAAAATAAATTAGTTGAAGTCAACAAATGCATACAAGATCTTTGCGAACAAGAGTACTGGGGTCTTAATAACAACAGTAATATCATTAAGAGGTCGGCTATATTGCGAGTAGACGACCAGCCAGCCGATCAAAATACGACTGTCGATGGCATTTTTTGTTACAAGTAAACAACAAGCATTTTCTTATAGCTTAGACACTGGTGAGTCACGTTTGATATGTTGCCACCTCTGATTTTAACGAACAAAGAGAAAATTTTAAGCATTTGAATTAAATTATTATTAAATTATTATACTCCCAAAAAAATGTGCAATTTGAAGTCCACTTAAATTAGCGTCGTTTATATCGTTAGAAAGAGCATAAAAAAGTACATATAAGACATTTAAACGAGTAATACGATTTATTTATCCAAATTCGAGTTATGAACACTTAAAAATAGGTAAAATGCGGTGAATGACGTCACAAAAGCTGTTTTGTAGCAACTTTAAGCGCCTGTAACTCAAAACAGGGTTATAAATTCGCACTTCTCACTTAAATGGTCTATACCTACTTTTTTCCAAACTTTCTGATTTTATAGGTGATTTTTTCTGAAAGTTGGTTTCAAATTTCACAGTTTAGTGAGTATAGCAATTTTAATAGGCAAAAACTTCAGATTCTCAAAATTTTTCACTTTAAAGTCAATATCAGAGGTGGCAACCTATCAAACGTTGTTCTCCAGTGCCTAAGCTATACGAAAACGCCAGTTGCCAGCTTGTAACAAATAATGCCATCAATGACATTTTAGAGACACTTTTATTGAGGTTGGCTGGCCGTCTAGAGTTTGCGAGTCTGCGAGTTGCGAGTCTGCGAGTTGCGAGTCTGCGAGTTGCGAGTCTGCGAGTTGCGAGTCTGCGAGTTTACGGTGGGGATTTATTGCCTCGAAAACGCTCACTTAAGTGTAATTTTGCGTTCTTTTGACGAATTGATCCTATATTTTACACTTTGACAGATCTTTTCATTCTAAGAAATGCTCTCGTTTCACTTTTTCGAATTTTTTCAAATTTTGGCGGGAAAATGACGTCATCATTCCTTAGTTAATTTTTCTAAAATAAGTGGTTATATTATCTTCTAAACCGAAACAATAATTGAATTATCTTAATTCAATCAAGAGTTATAAAGGATGGAATTTTCAGATTTCGGCCATTTTGGGCTATTTTTTGTAACAAAATGGCCGAAATCTGAACGTTCCATTCGTTATAACTCTTGATCGAATCAAGATAATTCAATTATATTTTCGGTTTTGAAATTTACACTACATCTAACTTTTGAAAAATTAACTAAGGAAGTCTTAACACTTAAACAAAATATTGGCGCCAAAAGGATGACGTCATTTTCCCGCCAAAATTTGAAAAATTCGAAAAAGTGAAACGTCAAAGTATAAGATCAATTCGTCAAAAGCACACAAAATTACAATGTTTGTTGATCGCAATAGTATCACAAATTATGCATTGAGAGACACCAGTAACAAACTAGCTTTGTCACTACCGCGTACTAATTACTTGAAAAATAGCTTTAGTTATAGCGGTGCAGTACTGTGGAATTCTCTTCCTACTGAGTTAAGACAGGCTAGTACTTTACATAAATTTAAGTCTGACTGTAGCAACTTTATTCAATAATTTTTAAATATTTTATCTAATTTTATCAATTTAATGCACGGCACTCATGAAAAACAGGTAGTTTTGTAAATATGTATAGAATAATTTATCATATATCTAATTTCCTTTGTTACTTTATCATAAGTGTGTAAAATCCTGATGAGTCCACCGTGACTAAATAAAGTTCACAAAACAAAACAAAACAAACTCGCAACTCGCAGACTCGCAAATCGCAGACTCGCAGACTCGCAACTCGCAGACTCGCAACTCGCAGACTCGCAACTCGCAGACTCGCAACTCGCAGACTCGCAACTCGCAGACTCGCAACTCGCAGACTCGTAACTCGCATATTAGACAAACTCTATCAGTAATATGCATTTGAATCCTTATGGACTACACTTAAACAAACGTGGCTCTGCTATATTAGCAAAAAATATCAAATTGCATATAACTAACAATATAAATAACTATTGACTGGACTTGACGAATTGACGAAAAACCAAGATGGCGGACGGTCGCGTTCTGACTAGCTCTGTCAGTTGCCTTCAAAACAATCTTTATAACTGGGACTTGACCGAAATACTTCGCTACAAAGAAGCGAATAGCTTTACTTATGTTGGCAATCGAATTAAATGGATAGATACTTTTGACATGTTGAAAATATTTACGAAAAATGCCATTGGTCAGGCTGGCAAATGGCTATCACCCGGTGGCAAATATAAGAAATTTGTGAGCTCCAATTCTGACCTAACTATCACATGGAACTATGAACTGGGCATGCTGACTTTCAAAGGCAGTGTAGGAGACAATTTAAAAGAACTATTTGCTAATATTATGAATGAAGACATGCCGACGAATAGTATAAGTTTTAAACTTGGCTCTTCGAATAAAGACAAATTGTTGCATAATGGCGAAATCGTGTCCGAAGCTGGTAGAAAAATCATAGACCGTGATAGTGCTAAATCCGAATGCGGGGCGGTAACACATACTACGGACATTTCAACTCTTGAAGAGCTACAGGAAATTGTTGATCGATCTTATCAAGGTATGTTGCCCCGAAATGGCAACGTCAATGTGTCCTTTGCCCAAACAATCGACAGTTCTACCCCTTTCAGGTCGCGTGCAGCAGAATGCTTATCTATGGAGGAACGATTCTGTACGTTTAAGGTAAATATAGAGTCCACAGTGACAGCCTTAAAGGCTAAACTTTCGGAACAGACCCAAATCATTGCAGACAGTAAACAAGAGCTATGTAAATTGGCCAATGACAATTTGCATTTAAGAACACGCCTGGCTGAACTTGAAGAGAAAGTGTTCCCTAAGGACAAATCTACTATTTTAAATACCCCCAGTAGTAACGGTGATATCCCTAACAATACCTCAGTAAATAAATCCCAACCCATCGTCCCGTGTGTAACGACACCCACAAACAATGCACAATTGAATACGTTAAACACAAGCATTTCAAGCTCAATTAACATTGATATTCCATATGCAGTTAAAGCCTCAGCTAATCCGAATAGAAATAATGTAAGATCATTAGAGAACAATGATAGTAACCCTGCGACGAATACAATTAAAATCTCAAATGCTGAAATTACATCAACAGGCAAAAAGGAAAAAGCGTTAGTGCCTTGCCCGTTCCTGAAAAGGAGAGGTCACTGCTTAAAGGGAGACAGATGCGACTTTCTGCATAAGAAAATCCTACCTGTAACAAGTGGATCGAAGTTTCAACAAAAGCGTGATAATATACCACAATCAGGCAGTAACCAATTCCCTTTTCCCTTCGACCTAAGTTATTTTTCCCCATTTCGACTCCCAATGTTTTATCCCCCCCTACAGCCGTTTCCGTATCTGCATACACCCCCACCTCCGACCCTACCAAGCCCCCCACCTCTTATGTCATTATGGACAAGACCCCCCGTTTACTAAATGAAGAGACATCCTACAATCCTAATTTGAAGATACCGGTTAGAATAACATCACGCTTTAGTAAAACAAACTATG